AGTTTTTAACTGGTTGATTCCAAAATGACGTCACTGTCACCACATAAAGACATTTTTATTTCAGTGTGTTTCTGTAAAACCTAAAACTACAACAGACTGAACCAGGACTAAACCAGGTCTGGACCAGGTCTGGACCAGGTCTGGACCAGTTCTGCTGCTCCACTTAAGGGAGAAAAGCAGGAAAATCAAACTTCTTTGTGTCGACAGAAACAAAAGCAGCTGAAGGAAACATATACGTCTGTTTAATGTCGCACAAATCCTCAGGGAAATACTCCCTACACAAATACTCCCTACACAGAGAGGGGCATTGTGGGAGGACGGGGGGGGGGGGGGGGGGGGGGGGGGGGGGCACAGTGGGGGAGCAGGTCTGAACTCGAGTCGATAGAACCTGAGCTCCACTTTAAACCAAATCCACACCTGAGATTAAATTTAGTTTCAACAGGATTTTATCAGGAGATGATCAGGTTTTTATCAGGAGATGATCAGGTTTTTATCAGGAGATGATCAGGTTTTTATCAGGAGATGATCAGGTTTTTATCAGGAGATGATCAGGTTTTTATCAGGAGATGATCAGGTTTTTATCAGGACTCTGTGACCCAGAAAAGGTCTTCAGCGTTGAGTCTGATGGAATAAATTGGCTAAAAATAATATGAGCACATGACCTGCACCAAGAACTAAACCAGGACTAAACCAGGTCTAAACCAGGTCTAAACCAGAACTGAACCAGAACTGAACCAGGACTAAACCAGGACTATTAAAGTCCATTTTACTGAATACTGAGCACCAGTAAAATGCAGTTTTAAACTAGAATAAAAAGTTGAGTTGTTTCTGAAACACTGGACATTTGGAGCTTTGGAGACTCTGTTCTTCTGTCCCTGTGTCTCTGTGTCTGTGTCTCTGTCCTTCTGTCTCTGATCCCTCTGTGTGTCTGTGTCTCTGTGTCTGTGTCTCTGTCTCTCTGTGTCTGTGTCTCTGTGTGTCTGTGTCTCTGTGTCTGTGTCTCTGTGTGTCTGTGTCTGTGTCTCTGTGTCTGTGTCTCTGTGTGTGTCTGTGTCTGTGTCTGTGTCTCTGTGTCTCTGTGTGTCTCTGTGTCTGTCTGTGTCTGTCTGTGTCTGTGTCTCTGTGTGTCTGTGTCTCTGTGCTCTGTGTCTCTGTGTCTCTGTGTCTGTGTCTCTGTGTCTCTGTGTCTCTGTGTCTCTGTGTCTGTGTCTGTGTGTCTGTGTCTCTGTGTCTCTGTGTCTCTGTGTGTCTCTGTGTCTCTGTGTCTCTGTGTCTCTGTCTCTGTCTCTGTGTCTCTGTGTGTCTGTGTCTCTGTGTCTCTGTGTCTCTGTGTGTCTGTGTCTCTGTGTCTCTGTGTCTGTGTCTGTGTCTCTGTGTCTCTGTGTCTCTGTCTCTGTGTCTCTGTGTCTCTGTGTGTCTCTGTGTCTGTGTGTCTCTGTGTGTCTGTGTCTCTGTCTGTGTCTCTGTGTCTCTGTGTCTCTGTGTGTGTCTCTGTGTCTCTGTGTCTCTGTGTCTGTGTGTCTGTGTCTCTGTGTCTGTGTCTCTGTGTCTCTGTGTCTCTGTGTGTCTGTGTCTCTCTGTGTCTGTGTCTCTGTGTCTCTGTGTCTCTGTGTCTCTGTGTCTGTGTCTGTGTCTCTGTGTCTGTGTCTCTGTGTCTCTGTGTCTGTGTGTCTCTGTCTGTGTCTCTGTGTCTCTGTGTCTCTGTGTCTGTGTGTCTGTGTCTCTGTGTGTCTCTGTGTGTCTGTGTCTCTGTGTCTCTGTGTCTCTGTCTGTGTCTGTGTCTCTGTGTTCTGTGTCTCTGTGTCTCTGTGTCTGTGTCTGTGTGTCTGTGTCTGTGTCTGTGTCTCTGTGTCTCTGTGTCTGTGTCTGTGTCTGTGTCTCTGTGTCTCTGTGTCTCTGTGTCTGTGTCTCTGTGTCTGTGTCTCTGTGTCTGTGTCTGTGTCTCTGTGTCTGTGTCTCTGTGTCTGTGTCTGTGTCTGTGTCTGTGTCTGTGTGTCTGTGTCTGTGTCTGTGTCTGTGTCTGTGCTCTCTGTGTCTGTGTCTGTGTCTCTGTGTCTGTGTCTCTGTGTCTGTGTGTCTGTGTCTCTGTGTCTGTGTCTCTGTGTCTCTGTGTCTCTGTGTCTGTGTCTCTGTGTCTGTCTGTGTCTGTGTCTGTGTCTGTGTCTGTGTCTCTGTGTCTGTGTCTCTGTGTCTGTGTCTGTGTCTGTGTCTCTGTGTCTGTGTCTCTGTGTCTGTGTCTGTGTGTCTGTGTCTGTGTCTCTGTGTCTCTGTGTCTCTCTGTGTCTGTGTCTGTGTCTGTGTCTCTGTGTCTGTGTGTCTGTGTCTGTCTGTGTCTGTGTGTCTCTGTGTCTGTGTCTCTGTGTCTGTGTGAGTTCAGTTCTTGTGGGAGTTTCACATGAGTTTGTGATAAACACTAAACTCTCGGGTGTTAAATCTGGAGTCGGGTCCATCTGTGCAGCTACAGACTCACAAGAACCAGAACCAGACTCACCAGAACCAGACTCACAAGAACCAGAACCAGACTCACAAGAACCAGAACCAGACTCACAAGAACCAGAACCAGACTCAAGAACCAGAACCAGACTCACAAGAACCAGACTCACAAGAACCAGACTCACATGAACCAGACTCACAAGAACCAGACTCACATGAACCAGAACCAGACTCACATGAACCAGAACCAGACTCACAGACCAGAACCACCACTGAACCAGACACCAGACTGAACCAGAACCAGAAGAACCAGAACCAGACTCACAAGAACCAGACTCACATGAACCAGACTCACAAGAACCAGACTCACAAGAACCAGACTCACAAGAACCAGACTCACAAGAACCAGACTCACATGAACCAGAACCAGACTCACAAGAACCAGAACCAGACTCAGAACCAGAACCAGACTCACAAGAACCAGACTCACATGAACCAGACTCACAAGAACCAGACTCACATGAACCAGACTCACAAGAACCAGACTCACATGAACCAGACTCACATGAACAGAACCAGACTCACATGGATCTGAACTTTTAACACTCGATTCTTCACAAAGACCATGAGTTTTTGACGGCTCCATCCTGGTTCAGATCTTTAATCGTCTGAGTCTCTGTCACGAGAAATAAACTAAAGAGATGTTTTAGTTTTGTTTGTTTTTTTCACAGTGGAGATGAGAGTCTCACATGAAATATGAAGAACGTGGCAGGTTTGTGGAGATGATCCCAAACAGGAGAACCTTCTGGAGATGTTCATTTAAACATTTAGACTGACAGAGTGAGTCTGTGCTTCTCCTCAGACTCACCTTCAGCTCGTGATCATGTGAGTGTTTCGGTGGTGAGTCTCCTGCAGCTGATCTTCAGTTTGTGTTCATGTTCATGTTCATGTTCATGTTTGTGTTTCTTTGGTGGTTCTCCTCAGCTCAGACTCACCTTCAGCTTGTGTTCGTGTTCCTTGTTGACTCGTGCGAGGAGCTGAGCCTTCCTCCTGTTCAGAGCCTCGATGAGGGCGTCACACTGAGCCACGAGACACGCCTCAAACTCCACCCCGTTCTCCTGCCGCAAACAAACAAACAAACAAACAGACAAACAAACAAACAGACAAACAAACAAACAAACAAACAACAGACAAACAAACAAACAAACAAACAAACAAACAAACACTTTAGACTCCGAGAACTTTGAAAAAACATCGAAGCTCCAGAATCAAACAAAACTGACTCTGAACTTGAAGTCATGTTCTAATGTTCTGCTGTTCCTGGTCACAAACTGAGCTGGAGTTTAGTTTGTTTGACTCTTTATTCTGAGTCTGTTTCATCTCCAAAACTCCAAACGCTCTGCTCCACCTTGTGATGTCACGAAGTTCTCAGCTCCTTTTCCCTTTCGTTCAGTCGAGATCAGCGACTCCAGGACTGAAAAAATGATCCAGGTGATTCTAGTGAAGGAGTTTAAAAACACAGTGGAGCTCTTCCTGTATCACCACATGATGACATCACGAGGTGGAACAGAGTGTTTTCAGTTTGAGAGAAAAACTCAAAACTCAAACACACAAAAAACACAAAAACTTCCCTTCACTTTCCTGCTGGGTCCAGACCCGCCTCATGTGCAGGTCCGGAGCTTAAAGCAGCACTGTGGAACATCTGGGGAGGGTCCACCACCTGCTTGTTTCCATGGAGATGTCGTTGCTTTGTCTGGAATGTCCCACAGTGTCACTTTACACTTTCGACCTCGCTCCAGGTCGGTTCTGTCGACGCTCGAACACGTTTTTCCTCCAATAAAAACAATAAAAACAAGACTGAACTGGGAGAGGTTCCAGGTTTGTCGTTTTATCTCCATGGAGACGAGCAGACGGTGGAAAAGTTCCACACTGCAGCTTTACTGCGCTGGTCAGATCACAGATGCAGTTACATAACGCTCCCATGTAAAGTCTGTGTTTTCTCCCTGTTTCTTCACACTCTCGACACATTTTCACTTTGTCACTTTCACAGTGCGTCTGGTGCAGTGGGCGGGGCTTTCGCTCACACCTCGTGACGTCATCGTGTGAGTCACGTTCATCTGTGGTTCTGTCTGTGGGTTTAGAACTTCATAGAAAAGTGTGGAAGCGTCTGAAGGTGAAGCAGGTTTAGTCTTTTACCCTTGAGATTAAATCCAATTTACACCAAAATATTTAAAATGTGACAAAAGATTTTTTACATTCACAAAAATCTGTAAATTTATTCTACGCAAAACCAAGTCAATCCAACTTTCTTTGTATGACACTTTTCACATCACAAAGTCTCCACAGTGGTGCAAAAACACACACGATGTGAAGAAACACACGAAATACAATATAAAAAAATAATAAAATAAATACAACATAAATAAAAAACAAATTAAATAAATTTAAAAAATAATAAAAAACATAAATAATAAAATAAACACCACATAAATAAAAAAAAACACATTAAAGAAATAAAAATCAATAAATAAATAAAACACAAATTAAAAAACACATGTAAAAAAACTAATAAAATAATATTAAATAAAATAATAAAATAAATACAACATAAAAAAACAAAATACAAAATAAGTTAATAAAAAAATAAAAAATACTCAAATTGGCAAATAAAAAAAATAGAAGAAATAAAATTAGAACAAATGCATAGAGCGACAAACACTGCTGCTGTTTCATTGATTTTTTTCCAAGTCGCTCTTGTTCTGTTTGACTCTTTAAATGGTTTTATTCTGAATTAAAGCTCTGGTTTTAAATCCACAGACAGAACTGGTGTAAATGATAAACTTTAATCTTTACTAAAGCGTCTGAGCTGACGGGGGTTTTACCTGGATGTGCTGAACCATGTTCCGGAGTTGAACCAGAAACTCTTTTGCTTCAGTGGCTCGGTCGGAGAGTCCGTTCAGAGCCTGAGACAACTGCCCCTGGACCACAGACACAAAACACACAAAACACACAAAACACACAAGGTCAGAGGTCAGAGCGAGATTCAGATCAAATTCAACAACAACATGAGTTGTTGCTTCACACTGCACAGAGGGACTAGGCAAGGATGCCCACTCTCCCCCTCCCTATTCACCATTTTCATTGAGCCACTCGCAATAGCCATCCGTCAGAACCCCGACATACAAGGATTTCAAACAGCTCATATGCAACATACAATAAATCTCTATGCCGATGACATCCTACTTACACTCCAGAAACCACAATCATCTCTACAGGAAACAATTACCCTCATTGAATCATTCTCTAAAATCTCTGACTACTCAATAAACTGGACAAAATCCTCCATCCTCCCATTACACAACACCAAATGGGATGCGACAGCTCATACATCACATATTCCTTTATGCACCGGTCACATCACATACTTGGGCATTAACATTTCCTCCAGGCTGTCAGAGCTGACTGGACTCAACTTCACTCCACTTCTCAAAACAAATAGACAACGATCTATACCACTGGAGGAATCTACCACTATCCATTCTGGGCAGAATAGCAATAATCAAAATGAAAATACTTCCCAAAATAAATTACCTCTTTTCAATGGTTCCAATCCAACCCAACAGCACCTGGTTCAGCTCCCTCGACTCAATAATCACCAAGTTCTACTGGAAAAATAAGCCACCAAGGATCAAACTGACAACACTTCAAAAACCCAAAGCAACAGGCGGATTAGATGCACCACACTTCTATCATTACTTTCTGTCAAATCAGTTACAGTACATATACAAGTGGACACACCCCAGTCACTCAGATTACACCTGGCTAGACATAGAAGAAACACTCTGTAAGGACATTCAGATTTCAGATCTCCCTTTTCTCAGCAATCAATCAATCAACGACATCCATGTTTCAAAGTAACAACCATAGCATCCACTCTGACAGCCTGGTGGAATTCCACAAATCACATGTTCAAGCTATCTCACTATCTAACTTCACCCCCATCTGGAATAACCCTGACTTTCTTAGCAACAAAAAAACACTTAATTTTCACTCCTGGGTGCAAAAGGGCATCACACATTTAAAACACCTCTTCCATAATAACACCCTGGTATCATTCCCATACCTGGTCTAGGAGTTCGGCATCACGAGTAATCAGTTTCTGGAATATTCACAACTCAAATCCTCGATACAGTCAAAAATTAATTCTAGTACAGCAAATCTATGCCTTTCCCCTGCAATCTCAGAATTAATCAATATCCCCAACCCCAAAAAAACTCCTTTCAAAGATTTATAAAATAATATCTCACTCCGACCAAACTATATCATTACCGTCAATAAAATGGGAACAAGATCTCTCCCTCACTCGTGATGCCAACTTCTGGACCCAGATCTGTAAAAAACATTTATCTCATGACAAAAAATGCAAATCTACAACTCATACAATATAAGGTACTCCACAGAACTCACTACACTGGTCAAAAAATGCTGAAAATGGGTTTCACATCAGAAATTAACTGCACAAATTGCACACAAAACCTCCCCGACACTTATATTCACGCCTTCTGGCATTGCACACCCATCAGGCACTTCTGGGAAGGAATCACGGACTCACTATCCCACTTCATGGGTTGTCGCATCCCCATGTCCCCCTCACTCTGTCTTCTAGGAGACCTTTCAATAATCTCAATAGATAATAAAACCATAAACCTCTCCTTGTGGCCCTAACTATCGCCAAGAAAACTATCCTCATGAACTGGAAATCAAGACACAACATACATCTGACACACTGGAAAAACCTACTCATTGACCATATCTCTCTGGAATACACATCTACTCCCCCCGTCAGCACAACAGCACCACACTCACCCTGGTCCACCTGCCTCCATTTTCTACAAATGTAATTTCATATTTGATTACTCTTCTCCTCCTCGTTCCTTAACACTTTTCTTTGTCTGGTTGCCTATCACCTTTTGCTTGACATTAAAATAGATGAAGTCCTGAGAGTACATACACATGCACACATGCACACATGCATACACACATAACACACCCATACACACTCACACACACCTGTACAAACACACACAATGCCATACACACCGCTTTAATTTTATAAAGAAACAGGGATGGGATAGACAGGCTATATAAAACAGAACTGTAACAGACTTAGGAACACAGCACGAAGTTGTCTGCCTCAGGTCCCTAGCGGCTGGGCCCTCTGCTGTCACCTGGGTGTTGGGTGTGGGGGTCCACCTACGGGTGCCCGGGTGCGTGCTCTCCCGTCCCCTCAGGGTCTCCCCTCTGTGCTGCTTCACTCTCTGGTCGACCCCCAAGCTCCTTACCTCCCTGATACTTTTAATGCATCACACCCAACTTTTTTTTTTTTAATGCATCACAAGTCAACCAGGGATGAATGTGGGTTCATGTGTGTGAATTGTGTGAGTGTGTGTGTGTAGGCTTGTGTGTATGTGGGATGTGCGTGCACATTCCTGTGCAGGCAGGTGCGTGCATGCATGTGTGCGTGTGAATGTATGCACATGTACATATATATCAGGGAGGGGGAGCATTCAGACCGGGAGGTGGTTCATTGGGGGGTGGGCGGCCTGGTCGATGGGCGACCACGTGCGGAGCCCTGGGGTGGCCCCCGCACCCGCCTTGGGGGGCATGAGTGTGGCTTGGCCGCTCCCACTTCAGTGGGGATCTGAGGCAAAATGCCAACACACACTTAACAAATTTTCAATACTCAAATTAAATAGCAATAATACAGGTCAACATTAAATCATCCACATAGCCTGTCTATCCCCCCGGCACACATACATACACACGCGTATGCACACACATACACACACACACATACACACACACACGCACGCACGCATATACACACACAGACACGCACACACGCACAGACACGCACATAAGGTTCACACTGTCACCAACCCCTGTCATCTTTGTTCCTATTTGTATGTAATGTTCAGTTGTAATGTCTGTCTTGTATCTTGTATGTCGTTTGGTTCCTATTTGTTGTAATCTATGTAGTTTGCAAATAAAAATTATTTAAAAAAAACAAAAAAAAAAAAACAAAAAAACAACAACACGAGTGAAGAGGAGAAGACGAAGACGGTCCAGGAGTTTCACCTCGGCTCTTTTATCAGTTTCTCCACAAACGAGTCAAAAACACTGAGCTGAAGCGTCTTTATTTGCCCCTTTAGCCTCAAACATTCGACCTCATGTTCTCCTCCTCCTTCACCTTTTCTGACCCTTTTATTCACTTTATCCTCCTGTCCCACTTTAGTCTCTAAACGTTCTTAAACTGGACCTTTTTGTTCAGTTGAATCTGCCTCAGCTCAGGTCATAAATCACAGGTTGATTCGAGTCAGTTTAATGTTTCAGTGAGAAACGCCTCTGGGCCTCGGAAACATGTGAACAGAGGAAGAGGAGGAGGAGGAGAGAGGGAGCATGAAAGAAAGACAGGTGAGAGAGGGAGGGAAAGAGGAAGAGAGAAACTGTGGACGAGGAGAGAAAAAACAGTAAAGAAAGAGAGAGAGAGAGAGAGGAGAGGAGGAGGAGGAAAAGAGGAAGAGGTCAAGAAAAAAGAAACGAGAGAGAAAGAGAAGAAAAAAAAGAGAGACGGAGAGAGAGGAAAAGAGGAAGAGAGAAGAGAGGGAGAATAGACAGAGTGAGAGGAGAGTCAGTGTCAGTGTCAGTGTCAGTGTCAGTGTCAGTGTCAGTGGAGTTTGAGGTCAGAGTTTGTGAGGAAGAGGAGCAGCTCCGTCCTTCATCAAACTCCACTGAAGAAGAAACACGACGGAGCCTGAACACTGAAACCCAAACTCTGAGCGACACAGATTTAAACACTTCTGTCGTCTTTGTTTTTCTCTTTCTGAGTTTGTCTTTAATCTTAAAAATTGACTCATCAGAAAATCTTAAATTTAGGCGATAAATATTTAAAAGAAAAGACCAAAGTCCATTTACCAGAGTTTCCTGAAACACCCCATTTGTTTTTGAATTAGTTTCAAAAACTTCGATCTAGAATTTAGCGTCTTTGAATTTATTCTCAGGTCATGAACTCATGACGCTGTCTGAGGTTTTGTATTTTTCAGATTATAAGAAGCGTTAAGAGAAACAAACGGAGACACTCGAGTCTGATCCTTCGTCCAGTCGTCCTCGATCCGTCGGCGACGCCGCTCTGTCCCGGTGAACGGGTTTTATGAACGTGAACGTGAACGTGGGTGAATCAAAAAAGACAAAACGAGAAGGAGAAACATCTGAGGAGCACAAGTCTGGAGACACTTTCCCTTCTGATTCCTGCACTTTGTCAAGAGGCGATAAAAGTCCAGAAATCAAACATGATCCTGGTCCTGGTCCTGATCCTGATCCTGGTCCTGGTCCTGATCCTGGTCCTGATCCTGGTCCTGGTCCTGGTCCTGATCCTGGTCCTGGTCCTGGTCCTGGTCCTGGTCCTGGTCCTGGTCCCGGTCCTGACGTCAGCGCCTCCACATGTGCAGAGTTTTCAGAGTTTCCGGTGGTGGTGGCAGTAAAAACACGTCCCTGCTGCTCTGAGCTTGTGTCAACCAGACGAAGCTTCTGCAGTGGGAACGACCGCGACCTCTGACCCCGACGATGGGAAACAGTCAAACGGTCAAACAGAGAAAGAATGAAACAGTGAAACAGTGACAGCTGCAGCCCCACGGAGCGAAGGGACCGACTCCAGCCAACAGCGAAGGTCAAAGGACACGATAAAGAAAACATCCAAGAAAATGATAAAGAAAACGATAGAAACATCCTCCTGAAACTTTACTCTGTCCAGAATCTGAAACCTCCTCCTGAAACCTCCTCCTGAGTGAACGTCAGAGAAGCAAACACATCATCACACAAAAACAACCTTCACCCCGAAGACACACTGAGAGATGGGGTTAAGTGTCTTGCCCAAGGACACAACGACAGTGTTCATCTGTGGGAGCTGGAATCACACCGA